CAAAGCCAGCCAAATATATGGTGTATGTGGCGGGTGAGTCCGCAAATGTCAAGGGACACACATAAGCAGCTTCAGGTGAAATGTTTTTTTTAGGGAAAGGAAGTGGATTAGCCAGAAGAGCTATCCGCAGGGGACATCTATACCACTCAAATTAAGTTGAGTTCTATAAACACTCGAAATAAGATGGCTACTTTGATGACATCCAGTTTTATTTAAATAAGGTTTGCTGGAAAACAGTAACATGAATTTCCACAGAAACAAATTGCGCTAGTTTTTATTAATAATTAATACATTTTTGTTCTTTAGCTGGACAAACTTTCTAACACATTTAGTATGCCCTGTGAAATCAAGAAATATCTCAATGAAATTTAGAGGTCTACCTCGCCTGCGGCATTCACTGCATAATAATGGAAATTACCACGACGATGACGACAAAGATAATGGTTTTGTGGTTGAGGATCTGGAGGATGGCGATTCCGTGGGTTCCGTGGTGAGGGGAGAGGAGTCACCTCTTCCCAGTTGTTTGCAGGTGAGCAAATGGGCAATCTCCCTTTCTGTCCCACTGCCTTTTCCTTTTCGTGATGTTTGCAAGTCAACACACTGCTTTGCACTGCTTCCCCCAATGGCCACGCCCCCTTTTTGCGCCCCCCTGTTGACTGTGTCAATATTGACGCAGACCGTATCTCTTTATGACATATTTTTTGGCTACTGTCAGCAGAGCGCTCTGGCATTTCTGGGCTTTGTTTACATCCTCTCGTGGTCTGCGCTCCGCTCTTATTTCCCGGCTCTTTGAGTTGATATATACGAGTATATTAGCCTACTCGGGTACGATTGTACGACTTATTTTCTGGGGCCAACAACGTACAGCAAAAACAACCTAAAATCCCCTGTTGTCTGAACTTTGCTTTTAGGGGGCTGCTTTGATGTCTTTCTGTAGAATTTCTCGGCTCTAATTCTTTTCTATTTGGGTTAGTGGGTAATGCAGTTGGAGTTCTTCTTCGAGGTGAATTATGAGCCCAGGAGATGTAAACGACGTGGGAAAACCCACTGATAAATAGGAGACCTGGGGCACCAAATCGATCGCATTGGCATTATAGACCCGTAGTTGCAGACCGCCCACAAATTAGGTGGGAAATTCTCTTCAGAAAGAGGTATATTAACTTAACCTAAGTTGGGAAATCAGTTGATAAAGTAGTTACAGAATGGATAAGCTTTAAGAAATAACTCTTATCACTAAGTTATTCGAATTTGATTTTATTTAGACAATATATTTTCGTGGATTTGAAGTATGTTTCCAGTCAATAAATGTATAAGATCCAGATCCATTTTGACTATCACTGTAATTTCTAATGGCTTACTTTACAATTTTTTAAGAGAGCATTTCATCTTCGTTATTTTTTCAAACCGCCTTGGGTTTTCCCGCGTTTGTTTTGGGTGGCACCCGATGACTGGCACGCAAACTGAATCGGAAAAGCGCAGCAATCTAGGGCCATAAATAAACCGAATCGCCTAGTTTTCAAACGGATCGATCGCCTAGGACAGCGATGGGCGGGGATCTGTGATGGGGTGCAAAGTCCGCAGACAGTTCTTGGAAGACGGCGACAGCTCCATCACATCGGACCCACATATCAGCCGAGGCGACAAGTGAAGTGTCAGCTATTGACAGGTTGTCGCCCCCCGAAGATCCCCGCCATAAACTCCAATTTAAGTGGCCATAAGGCAGGCAGATCACGTGATTGGACGCTAGGTGTCGGTCGCCCTGACAAATTAGAAGAGGCGGAGGATTTTAAATGACTCACTGCACAAAGGATCTCAAATACGTGAAAGTATTCGGTTACCCGATGGATCGAGTTTTTGAAGTGGAAAGAGGCAAAGGAAAAGGAAAACCCTAACCTGACCTCAACCTGATCGATCGATCGACAACCTGAGCGGATTGGTTTCTCCATTTCCGCATTCGCCGCAGTGGCGATCGATTTGCCAGACAAATTGCACCAACTACCTCGAAATGTGCGAATCCAGTAGAGAAGAACCCACCGCAGAGTGACAGCTTGGAAACCCTAGAAGTGTACATGGAAATCATGGACAATTCCTCACGATCTCTTGGATTGGAGGTCTCGTATCGCATTTCAATGACGCGACCACATTCCGCGCACTTTGCAAGGTTTCGAGGCATATAGATTTCTATTGCTGCACAGAGAGAAAAAATTCCATAAAAAAAAAACTGAAAGTGTTAGAAGAACAAATAATTTGTATAAGCTGTATTTTGAATCTTCTTTTTCCCACAAAAAGGTATGATTTAAATCAACATTTTTTGCCTTACAATATGAAACTTAAAATTTGTACTATGAATTAAATACACTTTGCAGTTGTTCATCGATAATATATCTTTGCGGAAGTATTCTATTAATTTAAAATTAACATACTTTCTGTAATTTCTTGCAGTGTGTCCACTAAATTCATTCCATCTGGACTTGGCATTGTTCCAATGGCACGCTCTCCGTTTTGATTTCTGCTGGCTTTTTTTTTATTTTGGTTTTCCTCTGCGGTCAAGTTGCCTAAACGGGCGCCCAGTGTGAAATTCAATACGAATTTCGGGGTACGAACTCAATTAATTTGGAGCTGGGACCGCATTTTGACATAATTGAGGCGGCGGGGGTGGAAACATTTCCGCTTTGGTGCCGACAAAGCTGCAGCCACGTTCCAATCTTGTCAATAAATCTCAATATCAAAATATGCTAAATGACCACCCGTATGTGAAATACATGCCCAGACGACAATAGTTACAGCCGCATGGCCACAGAGAAAAATGCAAATAACTGCACGAACTATCTGTGAGATACGCGCATAAATTTACAGGCCAAGCGAGCTTCGGCCTGCGGATATGCGGATAGTATGGGGATCGGATAGATAGGATAGCATATAATACACTATAATGCGGGACAGGAAGGGGGAGCTCCAGTTTGAGTTCGGATTCGGTCTTTTTCATTAAATGCCGCTCTAAAGCAAACAATGAACCGTGTTGACAGGTCTCCGTTCCGAAGTCTTTGTGTATGATTGATTTAACCTGAATCGACTGACAGGTACGACGACAGGCGAACCGAACCGAACCGAAAGATATGGAAATCCACAAGAGATACTTGCGCTTATGCTAACGATATGTGGTGGTCTTTGTGTTTGGAGCGAAACCTAAAACGATCGGCGAGAGCGAGCTGCATATTTGGAATTTATCCGGCAGATAGAAATGCATATTCAGTAGTTCGGAAATCGAGTTCAGCGCTGTGACAGTGGGCAAGCCAACCCATCCAACCAATCAATCATGGATTGAATTGTCCAACTTCTAATGGAGCAGCAAAGAACGTACCGTTCGAACTCATTACCAATGGCATTATAATTATCCAAGAGTCTGCGGTTGGCTGACCACCTCAGAAGTGCAACGCAGGAATGGAAAAACAAAGGCTGGAATTCGTTTTCAGAGGCAAGACAACCGCATCCAAATTGATTGACAGCTGAATGATTTAATGAGCAACAAGATAAACGATGCCGTCTCGCTCTTTCTGCGGACGTGAAAACCGCAGCGAAATGAATTACTTGTTTTCATTTGAATTTAAATTTTCTCCCGCAGTATCTTTTTATCTTTTGTTGCTGCTGCTGCAGTTGTAATGCGGCGGTCCATAAAAGATACTTATCTAGCTTACTCCCTCTCGTTCACTCTCTTTCCTCTTAGCTCTCGCCATCTCTTTCCACCTTGGGAACTTTTCCCCGAGAATTTCTTGCGATGTCATTCAAACGATTGACGATGACGCTGCCCGATGACGATGACGACCACGCATTTTGTGTCAACTTGGGAGGAGTATCTTATGCCCCCTCCACTGCCACTTGGGATATCGAATTGATAGACTGAAAACGTTAGGATGGTCGGGGAGTTCAGGGGTTTTGGCGGAAAGAGAGTCGGTTACTTTGTATGCAGTGAAGTCAGTAAGATACCTTTTTTCTATGCAAAAGGCATAGAAGAAGCCATTGACCAGCAATAAAATGGTTGGCTAATATGTACGATTAACTAATAGTTGAATTTAGTACTTGTCTAATTGACTTAGCTATTCAAAACAACGTACCTATTGTATATTTTTAAAGATACATAGATTTATGGCTTGATACATTTCTTACACTTCCCAAAACCTTTACTCTTGACTTATTTTTCTATCTTAAAACCTCTCTCATTCTTTCCACTACCAACCTCTTTCTTTGGCTTCTCGGTGCGCCTTTTATGTGATTTAACTTCTGTTTAATTTTCCATTAAATGAGTTTACACATAATTAAATTCGCTACGCCATTTAAATACGCATCTCCCCGTCGAGCGCAACAATTGCATTGAAAGCTTTTCATTTCTTTCCCATTTTCATTGTTAATTTTTATGTCGTTTGCGTGAGACCTCAGAGGCAGACCCCTTCCACCGAAATCTCTGACCAAGGGCCACTTGTCGCTGGAGAAACGCGAAGAGAAGAAGCCCACACGGCCCTCACACACTCACGCACGTCGGAATATAATTTATGTATCGGCGGAATAATGCTTTACGATCTCGGCATGTCATTTGGACCCGGGTGCTACCTGGGACCCAAATTTTGTGTGGGACTCTCTTCGACTGACGTGAGATTTCAACTCGCGATGAACACGAATTTATTTAAGCACAAAAATAAGAAATGCTCATGAAAATCATATGTTTCCAATTATTTATTAACGGGTCTGTCTTATTTAATAGGGCAATAATGTTCAGTTAAAGAAATTAAGAAGTAATTCTTGTGAAAATAAACTGTTAAAGTTATATTGATTTTATTTATAATTCGTATTATAATTTCAATCAGAAATTTGCAATGCAATAAAGGAGACTTTGAGACAATTTTCAGCAAACCCATTTTTTTTAAATTTGAAAAGGTTTGTACATATCATTAAATTTTAAAAATCTGGCCTTTCGTTAACACATTTTTAAATCCATACTGATCTGAAATGACACTAATATCAATGGGCTGGATCTGTCAAAATTAAACGTACTGAATTGCTCAAAATTTGGAGGCACACGAGAAAAAAAACTACTTTTCTCGGGGGCACAGACGAAGAAATTGGATAGAAAAATGCACAGTGCCCCACTCTAAGAGTCGCGATGCTTTTAAAAATTCTACGTAAATATGGCACACTGAACCACTTGGTAAGCAACCACCATCCTCAGGTCACGACTTCCCGGCGTCCAAGTCCTGCCCATCTGAAATCTGGATCTGGATCTGGATGCGGATGTGGAAGATTCCCCGGAGATCCGCGATTGATCCGGCGTCAGGTACACGACTGGGATCAACGGCGCAAAACCATTCCAAAGTTGGTGTATCTGCACAACCCGTGGAAGTACCTGCTGACCAAGTTTAATCTGTGGAAGCTAAAATGGCTGTGGGATCGGGACTTCAGCGAACCGGACTTCCTGGAGGGCGCCAAACAGGCGGCGATCGTTATGACGGACATCATCCGGCTGCAAAGTGCGGAGCGGATCAGCGAGTACACGACTCCGGTGGGATTCCAGCAGATCACCCGGGACATGCTGCTTTCCCGAAACGACACGCGCCTCCAGTTGGTCAGATTCGAGCGGGAACACCTTCGCCGAGCGATTCCCATGAAGGTTGCCACGCGGCAGAACTTTGGAAGGAAGTACGCCTTCATTGACATGCTCTTCGTGGGTCTGCGGAACACCAAGGACTTCGACACGGCCACCGAGGTGGTGGAAATCAACGAGATCATCCGCAGGATGGACAATGAACTGAAGACCCCGCCGGAAGTTGTGTCAGTTCCGCATCGAATAGTGTTTGCCGAGATCTTTATCCGTTTCAGAAGAGATTACACTGCCGATACGAGACGAGGGGTCAACCCAAGTTCTCCCTTCAACCAAAGTTCCCCTATTAACTCGCCCTTTAGTGCACCCAACGGTCCAGCACCTGTGGCCAATGGAAAACCACTCCAACAATCCTTCATACAATCCGCAGTGGATCCCATGAGATCCGCCCAGAATGCTGGAGCAACGGCTCTGCCCCTAACTGGTAGAATTCTACCCCGAACGGACGATGTGGGATGGTCGGTGTCCTTCTACAAGATCCTTACCTTCGATGTCCTCAACTACGATCCGCAGTCCCGAAAACAGCAGCGCCGCCAGTCCCACGAGAATCCTTAGTGTTTGTGTAATATTGATCAGTATTTCCTCCGGATATCCACCATTTGCTACAGTTAAAACTATATTGATACAAAATTATAGATGATACCTACAAAAAATAAAATGATATAAGCATTTTTATTTGGTTTTCGACATCTAAAATTAAAATTCATCTTCTAACTGCTAAATTTATTTAGATTAAAATCAAACGAGCAACATAAAATTGTCTAATATTATTCAATCAGCGAAAACAGTTTATAATCAAATTAATCAGATGACTTGTTCCCATAACTAATGCAACCATTTAAACACATTTTCGCGTAAAGCTCTTAAAGCTCACTGATACCCACAAGTTCACACCTTTTTTTTTGGGCCACACACAAAAAATATTTGTACAAAACGATGTTGTAATGAGGCGCATTACACGATTTGATCTTGTTGGCTGATGTTGTGATGTTATTTCTCGTTATTGTTGTTTCGGCTCTAATTGGTTTTCCAACATAAGCCTTTGGGCTTGGAGTTTTTGGCTTTGGGGCTTGGCCTTGGCGTGACCCAATCAATTTAAATATTCCGAATGATTGAAGGAAATAACATAAATAAATTGACAAATGTATGTACAACAAGCTCTTGTCATTTGATGTTTTTACATCGTGCCTAACACATTTTTGCATAATTCGAACATGGTAAATGGTTTAGGAAATTTTACTATGGAGGTGGTCTCGTTGGGTCTTTAAATTAAAATTCAATTAATATGGTATGAGGCCTAAAAATGGCTTGACAGTTTTATGCTGGTTTATTTTAAAGGAAAGTTTATTTTAATATCAATGATGGTCGAATAGATTAAAATAATAAAAAAGGTTTTCCATTCCATATTTGTTCGGTGTTATAACATATTATATAACCCTAACGAAAATATTTGTCAAAATAGATAAACTCTTTCGATTTCCATTTTAGTTCTTTTTTTTTGGGATCCTGTGGCTGCTGACTTGCCATTATGTAAATATCTTGCTCCTTGTGTCTGTCGATTGAATCATGTTGTTTTGACTGCAGTTTGAAAGGATAATGTTGGAAGGACCGAAACAAGTTCACTTTTCTTTCATCTCCCCCAATTCCAATTAGTTCTCTACGGCAAGAGCTATTTGCTCGAGTTAAATAAGACCCAAGTATTTGGCCAAATAATCCCAACAGCCTGCATTGGCCAAGGAGCGTGAAACAGGAAAGGAGGAGCGAATTCGACTTCGACTGCGAATGGAAATAACAAGAGCCGTCAAAAGGGAAAGAAATAATTTAAATAGGAAAACACAAACAGCTGTTGCAGTTCTGAGCCAAAGATGGAAATGTGCCACTCCCCCCGCAGCAGATATCTTCGAAGGAGGAGACAGTAACGTTGTACAAGCAAAAGGGATAATCTCATTATAATGAAACGCAAGTTATGCACGCGCACCCGGCTGCCGCTAGATGGCGCCAGTCAAGGCGTCACTCAAGTGTCGCCCGCGCTCTCGGCTTAGGCGTCAAAAAAAAAAAAAAACAAAAAAAAGAAAAGATTAAAAAAAATCTAAATAAAAAAGGAAGAAAAAACAAGCTGATGAGAAAGGAAACCGAAGACACAGCTGGTTGTCTGAATCCCGACTCCACGACACTCGGCTTACACCACTTGAATTGGCCTGGCTTGAGCTGACATGCAAAAGCGGCCTTCAAAAAAAAAAAAAAAAAAAAGGGGAAAAAGAGGAAAATTATAAAAATTTATGTGCGCCCGTCCATCCTGGCCATTCAATCTCTGCGGCAGCCAGCTTCTGTCAGCCTGTCTTCTGGATTTGTTGTCCATTTCCAAGGATGTCAGCTTGGCAAATGCCTTCGGTCCGGTCATAAATAACAAATGGGATAGGACACTCTTCTTGGGATAATCGAAGTTTTCATACCCTTGGGCGCTGATACTTAAAGAATTTTATTGATCGAGTCAATACAACTTTAGTTTATATAATAAATTAACATTTTATTAGAAGGAAGAGGTTTGGTTGTCTTTGACTTCTAATACTTGACCACTGTTAAAATGAATTTTGAATTGATTTAAAGTCTTGGATTAATTGTTTTAATTTTAGGAGTCAGTTTAAAAATAAATTGAAACTCTTACAATTTTGGCACTGCAGCTATTTAATAATTTCATTTTATTAAAAGTTTTTGAAATAAAATTTGGCTACAATTTCCAAGATTACGATACTTTCAACTTTTGCAACTACCCATCCTTTAGAAAACGCAAAAATATTAATTAGACAATTTGAAAGCGGAGAAGATTCCCAAAAAATCAGTTAACCGGCTTAATTTCAAACTCATTTGCAAATATTTACCGAGCCCAACAAATTACAGACATCCTAATCCTTTTCGGCGGACCCTAAAACCGAATCGAGATCTTTCCCCTAAAAAAAAAAAAAGAAAATCGAGTGTAACAGGTGTACACAAAGCACAACCCGCGCGATGGGCTCAAAAGTTTCCATCGGTTTTTCTTGCCGTCTTTCCTTTTAATTTTCCAAAGATTAATTACAAGTCTGGCGTAATGAGAGGATTTCCGGTGCAGGATTTGCTACGTCCTCTTTTTTTCCGCCGGTTCCCCGGACAATCTTTTTCGCCCAATGCTTATGGCTCCTACAGTAGCTCATATTTCTTGTGTTTAATAAAAATTGAATGAAATTTATGAAATATTCGCGCGATGTGCATAGAAATGCGTTCTTTCGAGGGAGCGGAAAGGGGGGAGGGAAAAACCCACCCACCTGCAGTCTGAATCTCAGTCCCGACTCGTTGATCTTCATTAGCGGAGCCGCCGTCGCCGCTGCCGGTAAATGTCTTTATAGACATTCCCGGAGTCGCCTTGGCAAAGCTTTAAATTTATGACAACGCATTTGCGGCGCGCGCTCTTACGACCATAATATGAACGAGAAGAAAAAAAAAACCAGCAAGAAAGTCTGGCTAATAAAGCGTCGGCGTTGTCCCCTTCTCTCTATAAACCGCCCCCTTCGCCTATCTGTCCTTTATTAGTTCATTGCTTGGCTGACTTTCCCACTCCCCCCGCCATATCCATTTACACTTGAATATTTATCGCCGCTCTTGGCCAAGTAAAAAGAGAGGTGCGAGACCTCCCTGGGAGATGAGGAGAGGCCACAACGTCTCGAGCCCCGCTCCAATATAGAGTTGTCACATAATTCTCGACACTAACAAGCTAAATGCGCTATTTAGCACAGCATTTATAGAATGCCGCCAGATCGGATGGAATGGAATGGAGTTGTCGGCCAACTTAGTGTGCATTGCATAACAGCTTCGAATGGCGCGTGGGCGGTTGAGATTTCGCTGCCGTTCGAACATACAATGTATTTAATTGGCAAATATGAAAATGGTTTTATTTTACTTGAAGTGATCTTAAAAATAAACCATCTTAATTATGTATGTATGTATCTCCAAAAATTGTTAAAATCCTAATGTTGAAATCGGAACTGGACTTTTAAGGGCTAGTAGGACTGTATTGCAAATTAGATTCTCCTTTGCTACATTATTTTTCTAACTAGAAATGACAGCTGCACTTCTTATAAGAATTAAAATGAGAGAGCTATAATTTGCAATGGTAATCAGAAGAGTGGGACAGCTACTTAACACAATCACTGCATTCTTAACAATATTCTGTTTCATGAGTATGAGCAGGCAAACTGCTCATATTGCTTTGCCATTTCAAATTCAATAGAAAATTATAAATTTCTGGAAAAAAAAAACAATGACAATAACAACCACATACCTTTCAGCGAGACAATCCAACTGAATGCCCACGGCTCTGATTTTAAACGAAACGAAAACACGCTTTTAAAGTTTAAATAACTGGGCCAGAGTTCGATCTCCATGTTAAATTGCCACTTGGCGCCAAATATTTATTGCACTCGGTTTGTCTGGTGCGCTGTCAGCATTTAACAGAATCTGCATAAATCGAAAATATTTCAACAAAAGTTGTGTCTTTAATTTAAAACACATTTCGCATGCCCCTAAGGGTGCGGACTTAAGACACTGAAAAAATTTTTAGATAATATAATTATAAATATAAAAATAAAAATTTTAAAAATTTGTTTTAAATATCCTTTATAACCTATAACCTTTCATTTTGAATAAATATATATAGTCGTTATATGTATGCATAAGGGGGTTTCTTTTCTCTCTCTGCAATAAGCGGACAGCCATAAGAGGAAACATTAAAAATAACGAAAAGCTAAACTGAAACATACATAAATAAATCTGAAATTTTAAGCACTCAAAATCCGCCAGAACACACACATACACTCTTACATCCGCTGAGCACACACACACATTCACACAAAGCTGTTTGCGACTTGAAAACTTTTGTTTTTGAAACTTCTTTGGCGACGTTGTTTTCTTTTCGTTCCGTTCGCCTGTTAAACATGCAATTTCTTTTGGTTTTGCAACGTTCGATCGTTGTGGTGAGAAGGGGGCGTCAGCGGTGGAGGGGGGCGTGGCAACAGCAGCTGCAACAACAGGGAACATCGAAAGCAGCGGCGACAAGGACAAAAGCCAACAATGGATTATTAGTGGCACTTAAGCAAACACGCGGGCAAAAGGGCTGACCAGAGGGGCGTGGCAAGGGGGGTTGGGGGGTCGAAAGAGGGGGGGTCAGGGGGTCGAATGCCACAAGGATGTTGTTGTTATGCCATGTGTGTGTGAGCGGTCTCTGCGGTTGTTGTTGCTTCTGCTGCTGCCGTCGTCTGATTTATCGCCGAGATGTGGGCGTTTTTAATTAATTTCACTGCAGCACCGCTCAGCACAGATTTCCAGCTCATAAAGAACGTATTTTTTCCTCAATACTTAAGCGAGGGGCAAAAACACTGAAATGTGGTATTTAGTTAAGAACCTGAAGAGGTTGCAACTCCTTCAGAAGTGCTTGAAGTGGCGTAAAGTGGTGGGCCGGCAATGTGGTATTTTGCTCAAGTGTGAATGAAATTTATTCACCAATCCAAATGCTTTTGCGGTTTTCAATGGCAAGCCAAACAGTAGAAATAATAAAGGAATCTAAAGAAACTCTTTAAATCGTTTGGAAGACTTACAACAATTTTAAATATATTTTTACTTTTAATTTTTTCAAAATATTAAC